TTTCTTTAATAAAAAATTGTGTTAGCAGCTACGATGTTTTCTCAGAGAAAGTGTTCGTAGTTTATTGCACACATGGAATTGAATGGTGAAGGTCACAGGTTACAGAAAGCAATGGTATTTCCAAAAAAACAAAATGTTGGGTGTGCACATACTTTTGAAACACACTGTATTGCCGATGGGCCCGAGTTCATTTTTGACAAACTTTGTTATCGTCATATGCAAAAAAGGTTCCCCGTTTTCTCTGGAGGCAAAGGTGGTGCAGGATTAGTGCTCTTTCTTGAGAGGTTTCGAGAACTTCCCCGAATCAGATAGACTTGATGACGACAATAACCAACATAAAGAGCATTTTTCTGCTGACCACTTTCTCAACATGGCTAGGGAGAAACTCATGGAAATGAGAATGGATCCTGGTGAATCACCAGTCGTATTCTCAAATAGAACACGGGAAGAGATCTTGAACGCATACCCTGGCTCTAACTTGGCTGACGAATAAATATTCCTTTCAAACATGGTTTTTACCAACTCTGTTCAATCCAGCTGAACAAAGGCTAAAAATTCTTGCCCCATTACCTACAGACTACGAAAGACTAGCTTACGAGGCAGAAAGAATGTGGAAGCTTACAAACACAGGGACTAACGGTCCAACGGATAACTTTTGATGGCCAAAATTGGTGAGATTCTCAGTGCCCTCGCCCACACAAGCATTCAAACTTCCCCATGACTCGCCAAGACCATCACCCAAAGCGAAAACACCGTTAGAGACGGGAATCCCATGGCTACAATCGTTTCTAAACTTCGTGCTCTTCTTCAAAGTCTTTAGGGCTATAATACCTCAATGAAGTCCATGTCCAGAGAAAGCAAATGCAGTAGAACCTTCCTTAGGAGCTGCATCGTACTTTCAACGCTACATACCGCATTTTTTTTAATTCATCGCCTCGAGCATTATTCTCCATGTTCCACGCCACCTAATGCTTCCATAGCTAACATTGCGCAGCAAACACTTGTGACACTAGATGAGGAAGCGTCAGACGGTATAAAACAATTGATAATCAGGAGCTTCCGCCTTTTTCAGAAAATAGGACATATTTTCGACGATGAATTACGAAGATAATAAATGGAGATCCTTCCGTATATTCATGCCACCCATCCTTTTCTCTTTCTATTTCGGCTCGAGGTCGAGCCCTCTTCTCAAAGGTACGGTAAGAGCTCTCATGAAGCCACCTTTTTGTACTTTCCAGCTGTTCTATATAATAACATTCTATATAACAATATCCCATCTGTCTTATTCGCATTTCAACTCGGTCAATGTACTAGGATACGAACTCACTCGATCCGTTTCCTCATCAAACTCCATTTCCCTCCTCCAAGAGAATGAAGATGGCGACGACGACCGAACATATTCCAGCTTTGAGTCCTCCTCGACAGCGACGAGGGCGTTTAAATGTACGATCTCCAGAGGTCCCTTCCAAGGTTTATCCCGAAAACGGTGGAGATCATCTTCTTTCAATCGAGCTAACCACTGATGTTAGGGGCGAACGCAGTTGGTGCGGTTGACGTCGGACGGTGGATTGCCGTATTGCCACTTGTAGAATGCAATGATGAGTCGAAATTGGTCTTCTTGAAGTGGCACTTTGGCAAAGGTACTGAAAAGATAACACATCATCCATCTTGGATATCGATCTGTCATCAAAAGTTCTAGTCTTCCTAACTGGGTGACAAAATTTTTCTACATCCCGACTTGTAGTGTTTCATCGGCATTGTGCTAAACCTATACATTGATTGCGGCGTAATGATATGAAGCGCTGCATCTACACGTACGAGCATAAGTTATGTGTTACCAGATTCGTCCCATTATGGCTTTTGCTGAAAAAATGAAGATGTTGTTTCGCATCCTACAAATGCTTGATTCAGTGAGACGTTTAAACCATGCCCTCTCTCTATTTGCTGAGCACGCTGTCTACTCAATTGATGTGGATTTCACTCCCCTTGATAGTTCGAGTTGAACAGGCTGATTGGTCGGATGAATTCCTTGAGTTTCTACTCGAACAGGGATTTCACTTCGTGTTTATGCAAACGTATTGACATTCTGGCGCATCTGGTTATTCTAGGGTAACAGGGGAATTAGCGAGCTATTTCTCGGGTAACACGCATGCAACGATCGTGAACAGTGTGGAGGCAAAATTAGCAAATGTTTATCTTCCTCAGAGAGATAAGGAATGGTCAACCTGAATGAACACTTTCACTGCACCTCCGCAGAGACCCTTAAAGCGGTTTTCCCGATCATGGGATCCAAAGCCTAACTTTGGAGATACTCAATGCCGTTTTTCGGTCGTGGATTACAGAATTAACTATCCTCAACGCCGTTTTCCGTCGTTGGAATCCACAGCTTAACTCTCTGATAGCCTAATACGTGTTCAGACAGTCTCGGTCGTTGTTTCATCCATCTGCTTTATCAGATGGTGGGCTCTGGGGCGTTGCCCTGTCTCATGTGAACAACTTTTTCTGATTTTAGATTGCATTTCTTTTTCGGCACTTGCTTGTGCAAGCCTATATTTCGTACTTACAGTTGCACGTCGAAGCAATGCATAAAAATCGTAANGTGACAGTCAAAACCTCTTGAGGCAGGTCGATGAGCCAACACTTGTGGCCATAGCTGCTAGGAAGTCGCCTTGTGCTACGGAAAGTGGACGACTTGTATGGCAAATTCGTAAACTGCGTTTTCCATCCACAGCGGCTTAACTTTTCATCTACTTAATATTATCGATTCCATCGATATCACTGGTGGAATCACTTAGTACAAATGGAGACCCTAATGCAATGTATGCATTGACCTTTTGTTTCAATTTGTGGCCATGATATCTGTACGAGTTGTGCGTTTACTGATTAGCTCAAGTTGCCGAATGTAGCCCATTAGTCTGTGGTAAAATCTGCTTCTACAAATGCCTATTATATCTTATTTGTCGTGTTTTTTAAATACATTGTATTATTGTGCTTATCACATTAAGTGTTATATGTTACACATTGTATTACTGTTGTTGTTACATGAGGTGTTATATACTACATGTAGTAATGAAGTATTTGTGAATGGCGTTAGCTAATCACTTTGAAGATCGAATACTTTTACTCTTTCTACAATTCTACTTTATATAATTCGCTAATCTGTGTATTTGTGTGTCGGTACGTGTGTGCTCGACCGGAAATCCATAACTTTTGTCTACGTGAACCTAGAGCTGACCTGAAGTCTAAATTGGGCACGATTACTGGAGGCAGAATGGGAACATGTATGGTCGGTGGCAGGACCATACTTCGCCCACGAGGTGCGTGGTTTTGCCCTGCCAAGATTGCCAATTTGGCTCTAGGGCGTTCAAACTTGGTAGGAGCACAGGCGGCAGGGTGGGGAACACATATGATTTGACTCCTTACAAAAGCGGCGGTCTGCGCGAGATAAATGTTTGAGCGAAAAGTCATAGCTCCTGTTCCCTTGTGTCTAGAGGGTACAAATTCGGTAGGCTGCAGGCGATCATTTTACACTGTGAAATGAGCGCACTTCGATCTCAAATACTAACCAATAAGACAAGTTGCAGTAAGTGGAGAATGCACGAAGTGCATGTAGTGTTTGTGAGTGTTTGTTAGGAATCATTCACTACTCTTCTCCTTTAACAGAGCGTCAAATGTCAAAAGGATGCAGACGACGGGACAATTTCACCACGAAAAGGAGGAAAGATCGCCGTCAGCCTGACGGTTTCATATAAGGCGTAACATGGAAAAAGACGAGTTCAGAATGGTTCATAAATCACTTTGAGATTCGATTAACATTTCAGATGCCAATGTTTACTTTCAGAAAACAGTCGTACAACCTGCTACATATAAGGGCGGCTACGACGGCTTTAATGTTACCATATCACTCCGAACGGTTGCTTCTGAAAGCTCAGTCGATCGGCTGTGTGTCTGCCATTTTATACGTTTTGGCTTTATGAAGAGGTTGGGTCATTGCTGCTTATAACTACAATGTGAGTAGATTTAGAACGTTTCAGGTTTGTAAAAGGTCTCTCGAAGACATACTAAGTGATTGGGCCGGCTTTGGAAGTTTCACCTTGGAGCTGAAGTGTTGAATCTGACATTGAACCCTTCGGGAAACGGAAACGAAAAGAGCGCTCGTTGGAGTCCCTTCCGCTGCCATGGACAAAATGTGTCAATCGGTATTCTGGGCCAATGATGAGCTGTATCGCAAATGTACAACACCATGCACTGTTACGCTATTGCCAACTTGCTCAGCAAGAAAGGGGAAATTATTCGAGTACGCTCTTTTCTTTGACCATGTCCTCGAACATAGCTGGGCCTTGGTGGTTAGATTCACCTAGGACCAATCTCGTTTNTTTCCTGCATTTTTCGATTGCTTTGCAGTTGAAAGTTAAAAGCATAAGTTCACAATAATTTTGAGGCACTCTCGTTAAGTTGAAAAGTGGAACTGATGAAGGAGAATGGTTTTCAGGGGCGAAATGAGTGGGAAAATCAACTGACTTTGTGAGAAACGAGGCTTCCCAGAAGTAGTAGAATTAGAGGTTGTACATGGTTACCATGACGGAAACGACTGGAGTGGTACTCGTACGAGACTTCGCTTGTTGGAATTGCGTGAAGACTCACTACATCAAACCAGAAACGAACAGAATTACCTTCCGCTGTCGCAGTAGGCCACAACTAAACAGTTGTTCGGAGTTCCAGCACGGGTGGCCCTTTTGAATGATGCAGCCTATACAACTCTGGTAAAACTCGTCTTCCTTGGATGCGGCATACATCTGGTGCTAGGAGGCCAAAAAGTCATCTCAGTGGAATATCTCAGAAACCAATTCCATCGTGGAGTGTGCCTTTGAAGCAGCATCAATTTTACTTTTACTCTTTTTTATATCATCACTAATTCTGCTTCAAAAGCTTGAATTTGCTTTAGCAATGACCTCCCCATTGTATGACTAACTGTAACGAAAACAGTATTGCCATCGAAAGAACAGCATGTGGGGTCGTAGATATGAAGGAAATGGACTACTTATAGTTTTGTAGTGCGCACTGATACTTTCCTAGCTCAAGAGTGTACTTTGCTGATGCTGATACAAAATGAGTGCCACTAATCGTCTGTCAGTCTAGTGCTGGGCTGAGGTTTGCTTATTCCGAATCAGAGCCAAAAACAGATTCATTTTATCTTTGTTCAGACGATGGCTTCCGACTCCGATACGCCTGTCCTCGGCACTGAACTCAATCTGACTCAAGAGCAAGGTCTGAGCTTCTTCATTGTGGTGTAGTAACTATGTGGTCCAATCGAAATGCCGTTATTTTTTCAGTGAACTCTTATAATGAGGCTTTGATGGATTACGGGTTGTACGTAATGTCTGAATCGGTACCGTTGGTGTTGGACACATCACTGCTCACTGCAGACGACAAAGTAGGATTCTTCTACAATTACGAACCAGTGTAGCACGCCAATTGAAAAATGATACGGTCTTTGTTCTCAATTTATTTATCTTATCCACCTTATTCATTGATGAGCGAAAGTCTCTTTGTGGCTTGACGTCGATGGGAATCTACCAAGCGGCTTCCTTTTTCTGACTACTCGTATCCTTTTTAACGGGAACGAAAATCCTGGAGCTTCTATTAGTGCAAGTTAAGGCAATGATTGGCTATATCTAGAATACAAATCAGATATGTAGTAGGGGAGGGGGCACTGGATGTGAGAATAGTCTCACTGCAAGCCCGATATCAGGTCCGAAGTTCTGTACCCAAGGATCGGGAACATCTTCTATACTGTGAAAGAGGTACCTTTTGAACATGAGTTAGTGAGTTGAAAAGACTCTGGACTGTCAGATCTCGAACATGCGCACATATCGACCGTCCTCATAGACCAATTGACAGTTAAGATACTCAATCTAGTGAGTCCATTCATCTGATCCATTCGATCCAATCCATTTGATAGTCAGTAAAGAGAAGTAGGAGCTTCCGAGAACTACCATTAATGATGAACCAATCTGATCTAATTAATGATGAAACTGCTCACTCCTGTTCCATCATTTCAATCTAGTTCTTTTGAGAAAGCAAATTGTTGACTGACTGTGTCACCGTATAAGAACGATCCTAATCTGATCTGAAAAATATTAATACCGCATCGTAGAGCAGTCCTGTCAAGAACGGCTCGCTAAGTTTTCTGAGCCCTGACGTGCTCGAATCCCTCCAAGCAAAGGCTTCGCCTCTCTATCTAGCTTATAACTTGAGAAGGCATGATCCGTTCGACGAAACAGTCATCTTCGGCGATTAGGAATGCCTATATTCGAACTGCAAATTGGAAGGCTACGCTTCTTTCAAAGCATAGGTCGCGATATTTTGGGAAACTCAGTTCTCTTAAAACATGAAGTGATAGACCAGAATAGTGCGAAAGACACGAGGAAAACGCAGAAATCGGCTTTTTCAGAGGAATATGGGCTCTGAAAGAATGGCAAAATAACGGGTTTGAAGAGAAAGCAAAGACAGAAGTTGCATGCAAGGGGTATTTGGACGACCTGTCTTTCGACTCTGACAAGTGTGTTAGCCGTTGTGTACATGTCACTACACCTAGCTTCCTTGGTGCAGCTTGTGCGTCCCAGTGCAAATGGTGCAACTCCCACGCCCTCTTAAGTGCCGTGTGCATCGTCCGCCTTTGGATGTGTAAGTTGCCTAAGCCGGTTTTTGGGCCCTCATGAGCCGTAAGACCTCAGACCCTTTTCGACCCAACTGTGATAAAACACTTTGACACGCGGTATCTTTATTGGCACACCTCAAACTTGGGTAATTAAACCAAGTGAAAAGTAGAGAACAAGTGAACTTAACTAGTGGTGAGGTGTAAAACTTATAACATCATCAATGGTACAAAGCAAGGCTCAATAGGAAAAGCAAATACGACATGGACGAGAAGGTTTATAAAAGATCCAAGGAAATCAATAAGAGCTAGAGATCTACCTGCACCAGATAGCACCAGATGGCACCAATACGAGCACCTAAGCTGCTAAACTGAGGAGCATTCCTCGCGGCAGCGAGCTTATGTGCTTATCATATCGTATTTTTGATCTCCGAAGAACGAAGGAGCCTTTGTTTGTAAAGCGTTATGGCTATGGGAACGTGTAGAATGTTAAGGTCATGAGAACGTGTACAATGTTAAATCTATGTAGAATGTTAAGGCTATGTGAACAGTCAAAGGATAACAAATGTTCATCACACTGTGATACCAACAGCACCCTTTGTGTCCTCGGTGGTCACAGATGTATCTCACGAAAGGAAACTATTTTCATCTTGAACTGCGCTTCTAAGAATGCAGAGCTGTTGCGATTGTACAGAAGTGGTGGTGGCCTTTACAGAGGTCCGTGAAAAGATCAATCTGGGCGAAAACAAGCCGAATTGGTCATGTTCACAAAAGAATCGCCCTTCCAAACTTCCTATTTCCATTTATGATATGGAAGTTTACTGTGTACAGTATGATGACAAGATCGCCTTCGTCAACATCTATTAGGAGTGATGCTTACCCATTCTCTTCGTTATTCACGTGTGCCGACGAGGATTGTGAACAACGCAAACGTTACGTTATGCCTAGTTATTGGAAATGGTCACAAAAATCGCTCACATGCAAACACTGACACGGCTAATTGAATTTGTCAGATTTCCTGATAAAAGGAGGGTTCTGTCTTTGATGGGCCTCAAGCCGTTATTGGATCAGAGAGTCCTATCGTTCTTTGCCTATGCCGCAACTTCTTGATCAGATCTTCACAATCTATCTAGGACGACACCACCGACTAAAGGGTCATGTCAAAATTTCGCCACTGACTTTGAAAGCTTTCTTGCTTCAACATATGGCTTAAAGGTCTGGAACGCTCGCATTTCCGATAAAAAAAATGAGTTCAGCCTCATTCATTCATCCACCAAGGGGACTGTGCTTGAGGTTCTTCTTGTACTTGTGCACAAATGTAAAAAAGGATAAAATCAGGAACACTGTTAGCGTTCTGAAACTAGTACAGGTTCTTCTGTCTGCTGCCAAGATGTTGGATTCCGCTTCGATTGGATGTAAAAATAGAAGAGGCTGCCAACAGTGGGATATCTGGAAAACAAATCTTTCGAAGGTCGTTTTTTCTAGTACCTGTGTGGATGCAGGATGT